GTTTTTGATCGAAACACGACGTATAGAGTAGAAGCTGTCTCTTATACACATCTAGATGTGTATAAGAGACAGCACACACACAGATCCCCCTTGACCTCATCGATACATTCCACTGCTACCAGGTCGATCTCTCCATGGGACCCACTGGCACACATTTGCAGACCACTCATGGTACCCATGAAACAGATGGACTATCAATTCAACCATTTGTGGATTGCACATGATGCACAGGGAGCAAAGGCACCACTCATGCCTTCCATAAACGGACCCAGCCAAGCTTTTTATGGCATAATAAATGAAACAACGATTTTTTCCTTTCATCTTTGTCACTTTCCATGGCACAGCAATGGAGAATACCACCATACTTTGTGAACAGTAGATGCACAGCACAAAAACAGCCACTTGCAGCCATAATCTACACCAATGACAAAATGGAAAGGTGGTAATATCAGCAAAGTACCTTACACTCGGCTGAGTAATAACGATCCCTACATAAATGAACACAGTTCAAACGCAGTGGAGCCTAAGACAGATATTCACATCTTCGCCTGTTCCCTTTCCCACTTCAATGAGCAACCGAACCACAAGGTTGTCCCAATTTTAACTTTCAGAACGTCTCAGCAGCTAGGGCTGGGAACACAGAAGGGGGGAGAGAGGATAAAAAAGAAGGGCGGAAGGATCAAGAGGGGAAAGAAGCTAAGAAGGCAAAAGGCGATGTTGCGCCAATACCATGACTTTCTCCTGAACGTGTCTGCATAAATCCATGACAACAGGTGACAGCGACAGTCTGCCTGAATCTCCTCCAATTGTCAATTCGCCGTCGCCATCAGTTCCTCGGAACGACAGTTCTGTCACAACTGCATCAGCAGACGCATCATCTTGACCACTGTCTTCCAGTCGCACTGCCGGTGAGCTATTTCTAGGGGGCTCTTCTTCTTCTTCCCTCAGATCAGGGAGAAGCACAACGCCATCTTCATCACCACGGGGAGACTTCTCCCACTCATCCCCTTCATCCTGGTCGCTCCACACCTGCATCGGCGCCACAACTCCTGCCATACCAACTTCATCCACAGCAACCACTCTCTTATCTCCTCCGATTTGTGATCCGAGATCCCTGCCTCCTGATCACGATATAGTGTTGACTTCCTGTTCGTCAATTTGTCTCACGATCTCTCACCGAGGATAACCAACGACGGATGGGGCACAGAGACTTGGAACTTCGCCACCTCCTCTCCTTTTTCCTCCCACCCACCTTGACCGACTCGTCCTGAACTAGAACTGCATGCTGCTAAAAATAGGTTGTGTCATTTGTGAAGCTTCCCAAGTAAATTCCCCATAGTTTGCTGTCTCCAAACACCCTACCAAAGTGACAACTGCTTAAACCGCCAGGATTTTTATCTTTCCCTCCTCCTTCGGGTCTTCAATCTCAGAACTGAAGCGCAGGATGACCGGTTATATCCACAGTCATACTGTCTAGGCTTGCAGGTAGTCACACCGACCGTGCCCATCCATACCCAACAAGATAGCTGGACAACAGATTGCAAACTCCTGCTGCAGCACCACATCCACTGCACCGTGTCCTTCTGTACTTCCTCATTTCCTTACTCATTTCCTTACTCATTTCCTTACTCATTTCCTCCCTTGCTCCTTCCACTTGTTTATGCACAATCTGACAAAAGGCTCTGCTGCACCAAAGCTCTCCACAATCCCCTAAGATGGAGAGGGAGTAATCCTCCGACACGAATCTGGCCCAAGACAAAGTGGAAAACAGGATTCCCCCCAAGACAGCCCACAAACATCGTGTAAGCCACGATCACCAGCCAAACTGCGCGCCGTTTACCGAAGAGTGAAGAAAAGAGGGGGGGGGGGGG